TTTTCCGTTCCAATTACGGAAAGCGTAAAGAAGTACTACTGAGAAAGGACAGATCTTTAGTGGACGAATAGGATGGAAGAGAGTGTGTGCAAATTGTCGTTTAAACGCACCTTTACGCCAGGGATGAGTAAAATACTAAAGTGAACTAGGGGACGTTCCAAAAGAGACGAATACGATATATGTATATCTCCTAAATATTTCTTACAATTTTCTGCACGCTCGCCCGAGAAACATATAAATAATTATTCAATTGTTGCCTAATACATTACAGAGTTATTATATCGGAGTAAAAGATATTTAAGAGTGGATACGGATTTTCAGTTATACGTGAAGGTCTACAGTTCCTATAATTCTCTCCAAATCTTTTACAAGAAAGGTTTGTTGACTTCTGCAAAACATATAATTCTTAACGTATTGATCGTTTCAAGAAATTTGTTGAAAGGATACCTTTATGTTTTCGTATAAGAGAAGAATATAAAAGTTCACTATTTTCTTGTAGTATCCCCAAGATTTTTTATTGACAGAATAGTGCGATAGATTGATAAACGATGAGCGAGCTACCTCTAATATTTGAGGATGGAAATAGTACTTTGCCCATCACTGGTCGAGATTGTCTCTCGGCGATTAATCGAAGGTGAAAGAAAAACGTCCGATTGTTATAAAGTGCTCTCGAATATTTTCTAAGTCCTCCTTCTGTAATGCACTCTTCCTACGAGCGAATCGTCCTTCTTTAGATCACACTATTCTACAAGATCTTGAAATCGGTTGCTAGTATCAGTGGTTTCTCTATATCTTTCTCTCTCTCTCTTTCTCTCTTTCTCTATATCTATATAGCTTATTCGCCGTTTCTCTTTGCGGTGAAATAGCAGATATATGATTAACAAGTCGATACGCATGTATTTCGAAGTAACAATCCTCAGGGAAGAACAATTAACGCGAACAATCGGGATTAATCGATTATTGTCTATTAGCAGCGATAGGTGTTTGCTGATTGCGATTTTTCCGAGAGTTTAATCTCTATCAAGTACTCTCTATCAAATGATGGTTGTTCTGCTTTAGCTCTACAGATGTACAATCTACAGATGTACAATCCATTGAGAATTTTATTAATCAGGCTTTTGAAGTAGATCTGATTTTCCCGACGAGTAAGTTAATCTTCAATAAGATTATGACACCGATAGATTTCAGTGGCAATACGCACTACATAATATTGCAAGCTGACGCTTCGAATAAGCTTCTTTAATCGCACAAAAGCTCGGATCTATCACTGAGGCAAGAGAAAAGTGCCACTCTCAATCACCGCGATTCGCATTTTGCGCGGATCGTTTTTACGCTTATTAACGAGACACAATAAATCTTAACTCTCTCGTCTTCGCTAGATTTGCAATCGTTCACTCTTCCAATCTCCAACCCCCTCGTCTCATCCCTCCCAAAGGTCATTTATGGATAAGCAAATCAGTGTGTGAATTTTATATATATTTATGTGGCTGAACCTTGCGTGCATGGGCAGTTTTAACGATACATCGATAACAACGATATTTCGTGTAAAAAGAAAATTTCTTCAATCTCTCACGCGTGCGCGCTTTCCTTTAATATAATCGATTGGTCTTCAGGTGACCGATACTTCTTGCGAAATGAAAATTGGACTATAACTACTGTTTCCTACACTAACGGTGACATTTAACCTTCGTGAGATGGTATCATCAGAAAAAAAAATCTTTCTTCTATCCGTTCTCTTTTTTCTTTAAGAGAAAACGCTCTTTATCGACAAGAAACTCTAGACATATTGTTATCACTGCCCTCTGATTCTCTATCTGCATATCCTTCGATGTACTGACAACTAACGTTTATACTAAACTAAATTAACTTCTATAAAAATATATTTAGTGAGCAGTGTTACTCTAACTATTAACTAATATACTATGTCGAACTTAAAAGCGTGTCGCGAATAAGCACTGGAGCAGTCGGGTTCGTTCGTAATTGGGTATATTAATTTACTTTACTCTAACCAGAAATAAAAGTGAAGTTTTTATCTAAATTTGGCGATTTGTTTTGCAAAGATGAAATGGGAAAGATATTTTAAAAAAATATTTTCAATTTAAAACGAAAATGAAAGCTAAACAAATAAATCTTGATTTAAATAAGAGATGTAACAACTGCATCCAAAATCAAAGATAGGAATCTAATAAATTAGGAAATTATAATTTATAAGTTTCTATTAAATTAAAAAAATATAATGCAATTTGATTATTTATAAAAAGTAATTATTTATAATAGAGTTGATAACAAACTAGAAATCCTGTATGATAGTCAAGAAGAAATTGTATGAAGATGTCATGATAATTATAAGATATAGTTAATATTGTTTTAGTTAAAATATTTGTTATTAATATAATAATAACTATTATTATATATTGTTATTCGCATAAATTTTTTGCTATCAATACAATCATTGATAGTGATATTATTTATGTTACACGTATTGTGTGTGCATTGTTTATCATATTGAAATTATCAAATTACGAAAATATTCAGACAAGTTGCTCGAATATTGGTGGCTCTAGCGAACGCTTCACATAAACTATCAATTATGCGCCGTAGTATGGCAAGAGTTGAAACTATTACGATTACACAAATCGTAAGAAAAAACCGGAGGTATCAGATCGCATTTGAGAATTAATCGCGAATTTTGTAATCTTAACTTTGCTATAGTCTTCATCTGATAAAACAAATATGCATTTCAAAACTCTCTTCGTATGTTAAATGTTACAACAAGTTGTAATGAAATATGCAATTGCTACTATAAAGCTTCAAAGAATTATTCTTATTATGTATAAAAAAGAGGGACTACTGTAAGAATTGCTTTTGTAGTTAAAAATAAAATTAAAGTTTTTATCGCACATATTCCGGATTTTTTGGAGATAGTTTTAAAAAGAATACGAATGATGTCTCAATGAGAATGATACTTTGAACACAATCCTAAACAAATTGTTGCAACATTTGATAAGTAAACCGAGACATCATTGCAGAAGTGCATATTTATTTATGATATGATAAAGTTGCCGAAATGTCACCGCTGTTTAATGGACACATAATACTTGGAATAAGGTGAAGAACGATAAAAAAACAAACGCTCACTCACAGCTGTATCTAGAGTTGCTATAGCTAGATGGAATTATATTTTACATTGTACAGTCGTATATAAATGCACTATAGTTAGATAGTAAACTACATTCGTGGGCGAAATGGAAATGGAAGGAGAGCGAGCTAAGAGAGACGTGTTATAGAGAATGAAATTGCACTGAAGCGGACACACTTTTGTTGTCGGCTAATTGAGAATTTCATATGACATGTGTATGTATAGTAGAGAGACACATGCAAGAGGCTGATCCGTCAAGAGACATCCGCTGTTGAGTGGATCGTGTTGCGCAAATCGGGGCTACGAGTTACTACAAGAGAAGGATACGGTCCAGCAAACATTGACCAACAATAACTTGTAGCTAATAGTTATGTTTTATTACAGTTATGTTGTTGGAAAATTATCACCTCAACAATATAACTGTAACATAACGTAAAACAGTTACATGTAACACATAATATTTATATTGTTGAGTGAAAAATTAAACTAATAGTTGCGTTATTGTTAATTGGTGTTTGCTAGGAGAAATCGTATACGATATTCAGAATCGAGCAGGGATCAGAGAAACGGGTAAACAATCTTGAGTTCAGATTCGGCTATAGGCGCGCGATTATGACCGTGTCTTCGTGTCTATATTTGCGAATAATTATAGGTGAAATGCAAGTTTCTTTCTTGCGTATCTGCGACATCGGGAATCAAAATTATGGAGAATTGTATATGCCGGTTTTAATATTATTTGGTTTCTTGATTCTCCTTTGAATTTGTTATACTAGGGGATACTTTTATTTCTCTCTAAGAAATTTCATCCCCGTAGTGACATTAGTTGGCTCTTCGTAAGGACAGGCCTCATTGCGCTAACACGATCCTATGGCGATAGGAAATCGGAATCGGCCGTTCTGTTCCAGGTTACCGTGAAGTATAGATAAAACGTTAAATATATACGAGATAGGCGCATGCGGTGCAGTTAGATTTTTTACACGTCAAGGCGAAGGGGTCACGTTTCGTTGGCGTTCGCGTTCTTAAGCGGTGTATATCTTAAGCTACGCCTCGCGAGAGATCGATTACCGTTATTATTTCACCCGGTATATGGTTTTCGAAGACAAACGGAGCTGAGTGAAACGACTATTTTTATATTCATACGATCTTATTTATACGACTGCAGCGACCGGAGAGCGATAGCGTTTAATCTGTATAATTTATTGCTACGAGACGTTTGAGTGTCTTTTCGCGCAATGCGGGAAAAAACGGGAAGAAATATCGGTTAAATATTGAAATAGCGTTTTCATCAGCTTCGAGGATGCATTTTCGCGTTAATATCTTGTTAAAAAGAAAGAAAAGTACGCAGATACACACACGTACACATACACACACATCACATTACATCACACACAGTGAGTACAGTATTGCGTGCGCACTGACGCATTACAAAATTCTCCTGAGATTGGAGACGTTGTAAATACTTAGGAATAATGCCGTAACTACGAAATTATATGAATAAAGTATTGAAACTGTACACGGAACACTCTTTTCTCCCTTTCAACGTATCGATCACTTTTTTTTACGTTTGTATCGATAATTTCCGACGCGAAGCTAAATTTCTTCATCTTCCCAAATCAACGAATCCATGGTATATACTAAAAATAAAAGTTCTACAAAGATTAATAAAAATTCATGTACAAAACGAATAAATGTAAGTATGTAACAGAAATAATCTCAAGGAACAAGCTGACGTTATTTGTCGTCATTTTGACAGCAAAATGACGTCTTTATCGAAATGACAACAAGTAACATATGCAGTTGGTTTTCTAAAAATGGAACGGGTAATTCATTGAGATAAACGGGAACAAGAACCATCTTTCGCTATATGCATAGTTTTATTTCGTAAGATGCAAATGTAACATATATATTATTTGTTCTATATTAAGTCTACAACCTACCGTTTCTACACAATCACAATCACAAGTTATATCAATCGATAAAAAAGAATTACGTTCCACGATTATATCGTTATTTTACTTGGCGGTCAGCGTGCTTACAATGACTAGATACGATGATATTAACGAGGATGTAGAAGGTGCACGGCGTAACTTGGGCTTTTATCGGCAAAACCCTGGAAAAAAATGATGATAAGAGGACGCTTATATGGTCGGTATGTAAGTGGACGACGTGATGCTGCTCCTCAACAGCGTGTCCGAGGTGTGTTGCGCGCCGGAACCTTTGCGAGATGCGCGCTTGTGCGGATGAAGGTTTAACGGGGGTAAGTTCGGATGCTCGATTCTCGTCGGGGAACTCACGCGCGGACGGAGAGTTCCTCTCTGAATCGTAAGTATCCCTAAAATCACATGAGATTTATTATGACTCTCTATAAAACGCGCGACATACGCAGTAACTTTTTTTTCTTATAAAAATTCATATTGTATGCCCCTATTTACATATTTTATATAAAATCAATATTGATACATTACGTGTTTTTAATTACAAAGTAAAATTACAAATATTTCTATATATTGTATTTAAAGTAATACAAAATGTTTGGTAGATTCAAGTTTTAATTCAGAATTATTTCAACAAGTATATTTATGTTTTTACAAAATATTAAATATAGCCAAGTATAATAAAAAGAAATACATAGGACACGAATCAACTCATTGTGTGTACTAAGAATTGCGTTTAGTTAGAAAATTTTTATGTAACGTTAATTAAAGAACATCCGTTGAAAAGACATATTTTAGAAAAATCAGTTGTGCTCTTAAAATGCATTGTTGTATCAATCAAACTATATTACCGGATTCATTCGGTTCCAGAACGTCGTTGAGCTGATAATATTCAGTCTTGATAGACAATGGCTCTTCATAATCTACGAAAGCAGTGTTATCAAAAGCTTTGTCATCCTTTGGACGATTTTGCACTGGACTAATAGCTGGTGGATCGGCATACGTCTAGAAAAGCATTAGTTTATATTCACGAAATGAATTATCTTAAGTTGGATATCTGACAAGCAAATATATATTTGAGACAATCTTTATTAAAATATTAACAGGCCAATGGTTCTTAAACAATAAACAACTGAGAATGAAGGGCGATTTTTATTGAAAAAGGAAATTTCAATATGGTACAAACAGATAGACAAATGTTCATACTTATTCATTGTTAACTATATTTAATTTTATGTCAATTGCAATTTAGTTTAATTTTTCCTTTAAGAGATCTATGACTTAACGATCAGTGATAAAAATATTTAATGTTCAAAATTATTTAAAAATTTGTTCTGATATCTTTGTCAGGGAAAATGAACTCCAAATTGAAATCTAAATTAAAGATTTAGAAAAAAAATAAACATGTTTACGAGTAAAAGGCCTCACAAAAGAATTTTTTTTAGGATGACTACGCACGAAACAGACAATTGTGTAATATAAACATATTGTTAGATTGCCTTGAGTTTTACATGTTCGGTTGGTGTAGTCGTACAGGCGCGTTTATGGAACTGCCCACCCCCGATGGTTTCGTACGTATGCTCCTCCAAATAGTGTCTTGTGGTCCCGCGTGGGGTAAGGGTAGCCCACATAACCCGACTATCTTGCATGGTGTCCGCCGCGCAAGGGTAGAGCACTGCCTCGTTTTGGAGCCTACCATTTTTCGTCTGCATACTGGAGGTTGTATTCGGCATGGAAATCACCCCGCCTTTGCCGTTCCTGTTGCTATTATATTCATTGCTCGTTTCATTTCACACTTTTTATTCAAAATTGTATGACATAGGATTTCACAAAGCTAGACTATTACCTCAAATTTGATTTGTGACAATATTATTTTGTTATTAAATAACATTGCAATTGATGTAAGAATAAAATGTGATTTGGCTTTTTTAATTCATTGCGGATATATGTATATATTTTTTGTTTTTTTTTATCCGCGATTTTCTTTCAATATTACAATCATAAAAGACGTAAACAATATATCCAATAAAAGTTGATAGCCAATTCGAGTCATCCATCAGATGTAATTTGTGTATAAATTCTTTATTATGTTAATATGCTTACAGACGTTTCGATCCTTGTCAATATCATTACATACTTTATATCAATGTACTTCCTGGAACAATGATATATATTAATGTACGCATATCACTTTACTTGTCATATGATATTGACAAGGATCGAAACGTCTGTAAGCATATTAACATAATAAAGAATTTATACACAAATTACATCTGATAGATGACTCGAATTGGCTATCAACTTTTATTGGATCTATTCATCCGAGTCGATAATATATAAGGATTAATATTTGGTAAACAATATAATTCATTTTCAATGTCTTTCAAACAAATATAAAAATTTTAAAGATAAATTATGATTCATATTTATAATTTTTACTTGCTATTTAATTGCTAGTCTGAATTATATTTACTGATATATCATTTTAGATTAATTTTTTATGTAAAATAAAAAAAATACTTACAATTTGCATTTTAAGAGCAACGTCGCAAGCACTATGCCAATAAAAATGACACCGACACATGATGATATTAGAATCAGAAGCCACGTATCGTCAAAAACAGTCCCTAAAAATTGATATGTATTATATATGTATATCTATAAATTTAGATATAAAATTTTCAAATAGATATAATTTAATTATCCGTATTATGCGTTTATATAAAATAGTTTAATAAAAATTTAAATATATATTAAACTAATTAAGTTTTAGTTTCTCATGTAAATAGTTGTTTTTTTACCAACCTTGTTGAGGCATTTCTATATATTGAACTCCTTCGGAGCGTCGGTCGCAGAAATGCTTGCAAGGACTGTCATTTAAGTGCGGTGGGAATGGCAGGATATCAGAACTCGGATAAAAATCAGAACCTTGTTGAAGAATGGCTGGGAATGGTGGCGGGGGTATGTGAAGGATGTCGGGGGGTGGTTCAAGTGTACAGTAAGCGCAAGTTGAATTCATAATTGTGTCCAATGCTCTCATCTGTAAATTCGTACAATAACAAAGCTAGATGAAAATATTTCGATTTATGACAAAAGTAATAATATAAATTAGCAAGAGCTTGAATTTATTATCGAATATATTATCACGATATTACTATATGTTACAATATTTTGTACATACACCTCTCTAATATTTTTAATAATTTTATAAGCCAATACAAAAAGGAACAATTTAAAATGTACAAAAAATAGAAAATATTACGGAAGTAATGAAATAAAAAATAATTTTTTATAATAATAAAACATAAACCCTAAATTTTTTAATAATTGCTGTAGTGATAATTATCAGATGTTATATGTAACATTAATTAAAAACTTTAAACAGTCTTAATTAATACGTCAGATTTCAAAATACAACTCTATTTATGATTTTACATATCGCGTGTTTTGATATATGTAATTATATATATTTTATATATGTTTGTGACGTTTTTGTGTATGCGTTTTAATTCTACAAATGTTTTCTGTATTATACAAGATATAAAACTACAACAAATAAAATTCCAGTCTAAATTCTAATCGACATAAATTACGAACCGCCTAAATACGTTTTATATAAATTATTGATAATTATTAGATAATACCATTATTTTAGAAATAATCTCTAATCTATTTTGTAAGCTATTTTTGTCAAAACATAAACTTTTTTTGTTTCTAAATAAACTAAATAATTGATAAACATGCAACAAGTTTTATAAAAATTACACTAAAGACCAAAATAATTTTTTAAATAATAAATTTTTATTTTATATTTTTAAATATGTATATATTTGTACCTAAACTTAAACATAAACAAATAAAATAAGAAATAAAAATATAAGTATTATCATAATGTATTCAGGAAATATCACAAAAAGAGCATTTAATCAAAAAAATACGTCAATAAATTAAATCGTAATAAATTAAACTAAACAAATATATATAAAACCTTCTCAAAAGTAATGTGACACAACGTTAAATCTCCAGTCACTCTTTCATTCCATTTCCTTTCTCGTCTCTTCGATTATGTTTCAGCCTATACACCTTCGAGCCAAACACCGATCTTACGCAAAACAAGCCGAGGATGTTCAAGTAAATTCGTCCATTTTCCACGCGTCACAGATCACTTCGTACGAACACAATCAAGAAAAATATGACCGTGATAAGAAAATTCACTCTTACCATTGAGCACTAGCCCTGTGCAATTCTGATATCTGAGGGCATCTCAGACTGGTGCAGGGCGCACGCGCGTTTTTATTGAACGTAAATGACAAACCATATAGCTAGTTACAAGTGAGCTATACGCACCTAAATCCTAAATTCCGATGTAAAAGCTATCCTATTATACATGAAAAGTGTATCTTTCATTTGATGTTTCTTTCATACTACTTTTAAGTTGATTCCATTATATATTTACTATAATATAATATTAACGTCTTTATTTTTCAGATAAAACAATGTTAATACAGATTTCAATCGTGGTTATTTATAAATAATTAATTAGAGTAATTATTAAATGCTAATTTATTCTATACAAAATGAAACATTTTATTGATGATAATATAAAAATTGTATATCTCATTTACCGACAAAATATAATTCAAGACCGACAGACTTGGGAAGTGACTGCTAAAATTATATAGTTTATAATGTAATATTAATTTTATAATTTATCACTATCTTGATAATGTTTTGTAGCCATATCAATAATATTCAATTTTTATTTAAAACTGCATTTTCGTTAGTATTATTAATTATTCTGCTTAATTATTCTTGTAAACGTTAAATGAAAAAATGCATTTTCACGAATATAATTATATCATATATGTATGCTTATTTATGAAACATCTATATACAATAATAAATAATGAATTTTTATATGACACTGTATTATAATTTCTCGGTAGATATTTATCGACGATCGAAAAATTTATATCGACAATCGAAATGTAGGTATTTTTCAATTTTTGGAACGCCAAAGCTCCATTGTCGGTCACAAAAAATTACTTGTTATCTCTTCAGATACATTTTATAAACAAATCTAGGATTAAATTTTATCACAGATGCGGGACATCATTTAATTAAAAAAAAATGAATTTAAGAAATGTATTAGAGTGATTTAATTCTACAAAAGCAACAGTCACCCTGTGATTCTCTAAACCGACAATTTAAATAAAAATATTCAACGACAGGAAAATAAAAATAAAGTTCAACTTGTAAATATTATAAATATTTTACTCCATACATGTCATATTTCTCGCTTTTAATCGCCCGTTAGTGACTTTAGACTCTTTACTGTGTACGCATTGTTATAAGAAGTAATAGATTTAAGTCGACTTAGCTAAATAATCGTTACTAATATTATAGTTATTTCAATAAAAAAAAACTCATTTAAATTAATCCTGCTTATTTTATAAAGTAAGTAAAAGTATAAAGTATTATTATTATCAGATTAAAGCATAACACATTTTAATATCTTTTAATTAAAGCGCATAAATAATCTTTTATGTAATGTCGTTAATTAATTAAGAACGTTTAATTTAGATTAATAAAACTTTGGAAAATATTTGATATTATTCACTTTTTTCCACTGTCATTGCAAGTACCAGAACAATCGAATAAAACAGGAGATTATTTTAAATTTTGTTTAAGCTGACAACTCTAAATTCACATATTGTGAAAATTTATATAAAAGGTCAACGTAGATTTGATTTCATCACTTTTACAAGATACTTTATGTAATAGAATGTCATTCATAAAAATGATTAATTTCAAAATATCCGCACCAGGCAGGATGAGCTTATTCGGTGAACATGCGGTGAAGCATAGAAAAAATAGTATAACAGCTAGCGTAGATTTACGTACCACGATGACATTCACCGATTTATCGCACTTGCCTTCAAAAAACAATATTGAAATAGACTTTCCTCAAATCTACCTACATCTTAACATACCTTTACAAGAATTTCTAAAATTCTACAACAATTCCATCCAAAATATGAAACTACTGCGTGAGCAAGTTGTACGATTCACAAACAATTTATACAGTCCACCTCATAGGAAGGAAATTGTACAAACATTCTATTATTTGCTTGTTTATATCTTATACAAAGAGCAAATGACTATATCATCTTTCAAAATATATATATCCACAAAATTTATGATTGACGAGGAATTCGCCTGTCTGTCATCATTCACAGTATGTCTCACAGCATGCTTGTTACATTGGTCACGTGTACAAAAGGGTATTACAGGTAAATTTCAAGACACTGATTTCGAAAAGATCCAATTATATGCCGCACGCTGCGAAGAAATTTCTCCCGCATCTGGGATGATCGACGTAACTGCTTGTGTATATGGCTCAATAATAGAACATCGATTAGGAATAATGACTTTGATTTCATTGCATAAAATGCCAAAAATAATGATTCTATTAATTGATTCAAAAGTAACGCAAAATCTAGATTGTCAGACACAACGAGTGACAGAGTTAATGAATATTTTTCCCACAATTGGCAACCTTATCTTAAAGAACATTGATATTGCAACAATCATGGCTCATAATATACTTAGAAAAATTAACAAAATGTACAATGTTAATGATATCTCATTGAAACGTATTTCTCAGAAAAATGAGGAATTAAATGTAAGTCTTATCACGTATAAGTTAAAAAACATTATTCTGTTACATTTATATTTTTTTCCCTTATGAAAAAAAAACACTGAACATTTCGAAAAAAAAGCACTGAAAATTGTGTAACGCCCTTTTTCAAAATTTTCAGTGTTTTTTCCGTAAGGGTATGTGTAGCTGCGTCTTCCATTTTTTATGTCAAACCTTTTTTACTAGTTTTTACTAGTGAAAATTTCTATGACACCGTTACATTTTAACACTTTTCTTTCACAGATTTTTATTAGCCACCACCAAAAATTATTACAAATGTTAGGTGTATCGTATGACCGTTTGGATGAAATATGTGCAATAGCGCGAAAATTTAAGTTGTTCGGAAAATATACAGATATTGGGAATGGTAGATACGCATACATTTGGTGCCCACTATGTACAGATAAAGAAACATTCATTGAGCTTCTGTGGGACGAATTGAAGAAATACGATTACGATATCATGAAAGTGTATTTGAGTTGTTGCGGAGTGAAAATTGAATCGGAAATTGAATCGGCTTGTAGCAAAGAAGCAATTGTATGTTGCGATGAACATTCTAATAAATGATTAAATATACGAATAAATATTGTATCAAATAAATATAATAACGATATTTTTCGTTTATGTTATTAAAAATAATAATGTTTTTTTACGTATTGTAAACGGTCGTTACACGTACAATACTTTTTATAAATACGTAAATAATCGCGAATTGTCGTAATCGTTATCGCGTAATATAATGGACGCTTTTATGACTTTATGCGTACCGAAATAAATGTTTTTCTTATTGCGTTGCTATAAACATAGTAAAAAAAATTATTTATATAAAATTATTTAAATTATTTACAATAGTAATAAATTTAAATTGTTTAAATTTAAATTATTTTATTATTTAAATTTTTTAAATAATTTACATAGTAAAGAATTTTTTGCACTACTACAAAAATTATGCAATGAAAAATCAAATATCTTTAATAGAGAAACTTAAATATAAATGTGTTTCAAAATTCACTGTGTAGAAAATCTTGCATAGAAAACAGTAGCTAGCTTGGTATACTTAGCGCATTTATTTCTAATGCACTTTATACGAGAGAGAGAGAGAGAGAGAGAGAGAAAGAAAGAGAGATTTATTATTTATTAGTTTTGAAATACTTTTCCTAATTTATAAAACTTAAGCGTAATAAGTATATCGTTTAATAATTCTCTGTAATCTACCTTTTAATAAAAATAAAAATTGTTTTTTCAATTTGTAATAGTAATTAAAAAATTTGTAATATGATTGAATTAAAATATAACTGTGCAACAAATTTGAATTAATATTTTGTTATTTTGTATAATCATTATTATAATAATATAATATATTAATGTTAATGATAAAGTGTACAAGTATAATAATTTATAATTGCATAAATTTTAATTAATGCTACAATATCTCTTAATATAGTATTACACATATGTATATATGTGTATATTTGTACGTATACAATACATTTAAATGCAAAATTACGATATTTTTATATCGAACATCCTATACTTGTTTAAAATACGATATTGAATGAACATTCGCATCAACAAGATATAAGGTATTTCCACCATCACAGACAATATATAAGAGCAAAAATAACTAATCACAATATATCCCACACCCGTAACCATCTGAAAACAAAAATTAAAATAGAATAAATACAAATTTTTAATCTATTTCTTAAGTTAGAATTTTAAATGTTCGTATGTTTACTATAAATAAAAATTCATAGTGAACTGTTGTTTCACGGCTTAAGTAAATCGATCGTATGATGACAGGATGTAAAAGATAAGCACAATACGTGAGTCTGCTTAATGGAACCCAGATTTTTAATGATAGAGACCGAGTAATCATGTCTGTAACAAAGACAAGCGTATATATTATTAAAACATGTTTTTAAATTGAAACACTAATTAAAAAATAATATATCACTCTTACTATGAAAATATGCTAATATAATATAACTATATATTAATAAATAAACGAACCTCCATGTTTAATAAAAGACATTATTATAATTAATGCTATAGGTATTGCCCAGAATATTTTGTACAGTGCAACATAAACGGCAGTAGCCAAAACTGACATGTGTCTCTCATAAAGACTAAATACAAAAACATAACAAGCGCTAGCAAGACACCAACACGAAATTATAATTTTCTGAAATATATATTAAGTTATTATAAAACGTTTCTATTTATTTGTTTTTACATTTTTAATTAATTTATTTAAAAAATTAGTAAGTTATAATTTATACAATTTATAAATATTTCAATAATTATATTTTGTACCAGAGCAAATCAATAATTATTAAAATGTTCGAATATATTAGAGAATTTATTTAAGACAATAGAAAATAAGCATGTTATTCCGCAATACTATCAACGAAACGATAATTATTCACTTTTTCGAATTATTTAAAATGTGTTTGCCAAATCGAAGACCTCATAAAAAATAATGTATGCATGATTGAAAGACTAATTAAAAACG